CCACCCCTCGCCCCGCCCCCTGCCACAACCCTAAGCCGGGCCGCGGTGAAGGCGGGGGCCCTGGCTGTGCTTGCAAACGCCGTCTATTTACAGGTCTGCCGTCCCAAGTTGCACTGCAGGCTGTCATGACTTGAGCGCTACACGCATGGACGATCATGACGCGAAGATAACCCCTTAAGCTGTGTAAACTGTTCCCTGCCAATTTCCTGACACTATAAAGCTCAGTTGTGGTTCGTTACGGACCACGCGTACCCGTTCATCTACAGAGGCTTTGAATATTTCAGCACGCGTTCATAGCATACGTAGCGATTCATCCTACGTAGAAATTAATGGTTTGCATTTGGGCTTCAAGGGTATTTCCGAAAACGGCTAAAAAAATTTAGAAGAATTGTATTTTATCAAAAAATTGCAATAAATCTAGGCCATTATGAGAGCAAGGGCAACTTTGGAATGGATATGATATATGTAAATATGTAAACCCGAAACAACGAACCATGTTTTCCCACAACACTGGTAGAATTGCGGTAAACACCACCACACGCATGCTGAACGGCAAATATATTTTCTGAATTTTTCAATATTACACAACGGCTATAGATGTTTGACGGGGTAGAAAAGGCCAAAAAGCTGAATTGTGTAGCTGTAGTTTGTAGGCAATTTTCTTTACTTATTCAATAAAATGTTTCGTTTTGTGATTATAGTTACTATTGCTACAGAATTCTTCGGTTCGTTGTTCCTGTGACCAACGGACGAAAAATTAGGGTCAAGTTTGAGTTGAAGGTGAAACTAAAATTATTTATTTTATTTAAATAATTTTAGTTAAAATTCATTGGCTTGCGACGTAGTATATGAAAAGAAATATTTTGATTTTACACGATATTACACAATATCTTATTTAAATTTGTAAGGGCACTTCAATCACAAAATCCAGCACAAAACCAAGCATTTTACTGGCATCTTTTATTGACCTTGCGTTTTATTTTTAAATGAACTTTAGTACTCACGTCCAGAGAGACACTTGTAAACCTCATAACTAGACACCATAAAGAGCCAGATGTATTCTTTGTTTCTTTTGGTAACATTAGTTATGAAATATAATAATGAAAGTCTGGATATGCCTCTATGTTCCGTCTAAAGCTTCTCTTCGATTTTATGTTAACCTTTTTTTTTTCAACCGAATACACTAAGAGTTTGAATTGCGCATTTCCCCAGGCCCGGCCAGAAATCTCCCAACAGACGTGATTTTCCGATTGCAGCAATGAATAGGCGCGCTTGTCGTCGTACATAAGGATACAAATGGCTACGGCCGGTTGGGTCACCGAGAATTGGCGACATGTTTTCAATTTGATGTGCTAAAATTAACGATGCATTGTCCATCTTCCTGTTCTTTTATGACTATTTCTCGGTTGCTTTGTAGCTAATTTTATTTAAATATGAATATATTGGTTAATTTCTCGATTCTTCTCCAAATATATTTAAAATGGAATATTTTTGTTACTTTGCTTGGTCATCGCCACATCTATACATGACCGGACGCCCCACCACTTATTAGTGTATTGTAATTTAGAAGTCTTACCATCTAGAAGCAATATTTGGTCTCCGGACCTGGTATTGCGAACAATCTTACTTAATAACGAGGTTCTGAATTGCCGTGCGTGTTCATTATTTCTGTCCACTATGATTCTTGGATGAGATTTCATAGTAAAAATGTCTGAGCATATTTGAGTCCCAGATCTTCTCAAATTTTTTCATGAGCGAACCTTAAGCATATTACATATATGTGATAAATCTGTCAAGGGTAAATGGGCACTTCAGGGGTGTTCTCATGGTATGAACGGGAGGGGACGATACCCAACGGGCAAAAGACGAGAAGAAGAAGGGATGAGGACCAATGACGAAGGGGCATGGAGATGGGAAACGGGCAGAGATTGAGCGACCAGTGAAGGGAGAAAGATTGAAGGACGAGAGGATTTGGATGAGGGGCAAGAAACGAGATGGGAGCAGGTCAATGAGGGGGGGGGGTAGTGGAAGCTCGGAGGTGAGAGATTCGAGGAAAGCTCTGCGAGACACTATACGTACGTGAGTCGAGAGGTGACGGACACGATACGAGGTGTCCCAACAACGTTTTATTGATAGATGTTTCCAGACACGTTAACTGTCATTGTCATTAGTTCCGTAATATAGCGATTTTTTGTATGCCCGCAAGTGGAGGAGTTCCTTGCTCAGTGGTAAGATATGTCGCCAACCTTCACATTGGCTTGCGAGGCATCACATCGGATTCCCTTATCCAGGCGTCTCCCCCAACAGGTCACCGCCCCAGCTGGGACAAGCTCGAAGTTCTCGACTGGTCTCCCGTGATTGGTGGTAGTGTAGGACAAGGAAGGGAAAGGAAAGTTCGCTCGTTGTTGATGGCTTGTTTGTTAGGGCACTGCTCCAGCATTCAGGTGATATTGATCAGAAAAAACACTAACACAAAATGCGGATCAGAGCAGACGGCCGCTAGAATTCTCCAGGCAGCCACCAATCTGTGGCCGAAAATCCGCTACCATCGGATCTCGAACCCTGCGATCTTCGGGCTAGAGTCGCTGGTGAGCAGGGCCGTTTTAACAGCGTAGGGTCCCTTGGTCCTACGTTAATTTGGAGGCCTCTATTCTTACTTTCTTCGATCTCCCCATCCCTCAAATTGTAGGTAAGTTTTGTTTAAAAAAGTAAACTTCTCATCACTGAGTGACATTCTCGTATTAACCAGCAATTACATATTATAATATTAACTAATGTTGCGCAACATATCACTCCGTTATGCCAATTTTTTTAATGTACTTTAAAAATAAATCACTTTTTACACGTTTTTTGATTATTTTTTAAAATGTAGTATTAAATATTTTTTAAGAACTATCGGGAGCCCTTGAATATTAGGGGCTCTGAGCTCGGGACCTTCGCGCCCGTGCGTTAAAAGGCACTGCTGGAGACGCAGCGGCGTTGGCTGTGGGCTGGCTCAGCCGTCGCAAGGAACAAGGGGTGAAAGCCGGAGGGCGCAGCGGGGAGGCGCGCAGCGGCCGCAGGGGCGCATCGGGGGTTTTACCTGGAACTCCAGGCCGTGCTTCTCGCGGCAGTAGTCCTTGAGCTTTGGGTAGCACTGCGCCATGAGCGTGTTCCTCTCCATGGTGGTGTCTGAAACAGAGGGACGGGATTTGCCGAGGCGGGGCAACTGTGGGAGCGTTTAGCGCAAATGTTGCCAAAGGATTTTGGTCACGGAACCTTCTGGAAGACACTTTTCTTCTGCGGAAACCCCATCCAGTCCGTAGACTTTATTAAGCATTGTAAATCCACGAACTACCTTTTAGAGAACTTAGTTCTTTAATTACTTTGTATGACGAAGTGAATCGACAGAGAAAACGTTTCAAATCCACGTACAAATATTTTGTGGGGAAAAAAATATATTAAATTACAAATATTTATGTTTTTTTTTTTTTTTTAGAAAAAAGTCGTTTTACAGTCAAGGTTACAGTGAAGGAAATTTTTATTTTGCTACTTAAATTGTTTTAAAATGTTAAAATTAGAGTTTATCAGACAACTGAATGCCTATTAGTAGTCAGAGAAACGCGCAAACTGTTTTTTAATAGTTTTTTTAGTTTTCTCGCGGAATCCCAGAGTTTCATGAAACACTGTGTGAAAAAAGGCTACTCCAGTTGTTGGAAACATTCAATTTCGAACACATACCTTATGAAGAAATGATAATGAAAGTAACAACGAAAGCTTGCTTTGTTTCTAAACAATAAATATATCTTTTCTCCATATCAAACTTCTTTCATTTTCCTCCATTTCAATAAATCATAGCCTGAATTGTAATTCGACACGTGTGGTGAATGTCATAATGTTCTTGTTGTGTTCTATAAACATGTGGACGTTTTCGCTTGGTTCTCATCAAATGTGTGGGTTAGACGTTATAAAGGGTGTTTATTAAAACTGACACATTTTAGGGTGGACTGGCTTAAAAATTCGCCAAAAGGTAGCCTAAAAGCAATGAAAGGGGAGAAATAAATTATCTTTTGCAATGTATAAAAATAATGCATTGTGTCTTTGATTTTTGAATCTATAGAGAAAATGTTCGAAAAAAGTTCCATTTATTGAATATTTTGCTAATTGAGTTTCAACTTTTCGTTCATTTCCACCACGAAATACACAATGAAACACATACAGTGTCCCAGGGTCATGCAGCACGTCACTGCATCGAAGTTTCTTGATGAGCTAAAAGTGTGAGAGATCCTCTCATCGGACGGCCCTAATGAAGGGAGTCCATTTATTTTCTGAACCTCAAAAAAATGATCCAGTGTTTAAATTAGGTTCGTACATTCCCCTAAAATTGATAGCCGAAAACGACCGATCTCAGCAGCCGGCCTCAGGAATATCCATTCTCGCAGTGGCAGCCCTCGAATCAGCCATTTAGCAGGTTTCGAAAATGCTTCAATATCAGAGTTGCTACCTCAGACCTTCCTGACAATGAAGCTTCATTTTCGCGCTCACCACTGCGATCGCAATCGCAGCCCATGGTTCATGCTGCAGAACTGCATGCAAGATCTGGTTCCCTGATACCAAATATCGATTGACGGCAAAAAGTCTTTCTGTGGTCAACGTAACTTGCTAAAGCGTTCAGCTGATATTCTCCAAAATTGATATCTCTTAAGCGATTGAAACGAACTCGAGCCCACTGAGTTTGAAAAGAATATTTTGATTTTAGGGGTACTTTACATGAAGCCTCAAAAACATTCTCAAAATTTTCTCAAAAATGTCTCCCAATTTTTTTATTAAACTTTGTTCTCGGATAACGTAGGAGACGCTTAAAGAAAATTGCAAAATATCAAATATTTTTTGGCGTCTACAATATTGAAGTTACATATTATTTTTCTGAATGAAATCTGTTCTTTAATGACAGATCTTCAAATAACGTGGTGCATACTTTTTTGAAAATCTGGGTAGTTTTTGCGTAATTTTGCATAAAATGAAGGCAATTTCAAATTTTATTAAAATAATTATTTTCTCAAAAACGGCCTAAGTTTATTCTTAAAATTTTATCCTCGTATGTATCAAAAGACGGTAAAAAAATTGGTGCTCACCTAATTTTCCGCTGTATTTTCAGAAACTGCAAAAATTTAACATTTTAAAACTACAAAATTGAAGGTAGAGATTTTCCCCTTAAAATCTGTCCTAAAAAAATCAGCTCACTAAAAAGGAACATGCACATATTTTGAAAAAGCGAGTACTTTATTGCGCAATTTGTGCTTCAAATGTATGCGATTTATAAAATAAACATGTTCTCAAAAAGCTCCTATTTTTTTCTTTAATTTTTTTTTCAGGTATAGAACGAGACGCTGCAAATAATTACACAGGTTTCATTTTCGTTGAACTGTCTTAATTTTTAGAATTGCAAATTTAAAAATAATGCAAGAAAGTATGCACTGTTCTAGAACCACTAGTTTTCAAATAAATAGCTTCAATTTGTTTCATTAATTTTTTCTCCGATAGATCAAATTAAACTTTTAAAAGCGTCGCAGGTCCGAATGTCATTGAATTCTCTCAATTTAAGAAATGCAAAGTTTAATTTTTTTCGACGTCTTCCTAAAACTACATAATTAAAGGAAGAGAAAATATATTTTGATTGTTGAAATGACTGATTTTTCCAAAATTACAAAAGTTTGGAGGTTTTTTGTTGTCTTTCTAAAATACAATATTGAAGATAAAAATTAATTCCTAGATAAAATATGTATTTCAAAGACAGTTCTTGAAATACGGTAGTGAACAATTTTTCGTGTTGTTAAAGAAAAATAATAAACAAAATATGAGGTGTTCTCGCGTAATTTTGCATGAAAAACAAGCAGTTTTTAACAATTGTTTTCTCAACAAAGGCTCCAAACTTTCATCTTTAAATTTTACCCTTCTTTGCATCAAAGAAGAGTAAAAAATGTAGTGCTGGTCCCATTTTCGGCGATCATTCCCATTATTGCGATTGAATAATTGCGATGCAAAATTGAAAGAAAGTCAATATTGCAAAAGTACAATATTGAAGGTACAGACTTTTTGTCTTAAATGATATCTCTTCTAAACAATCAGAGGTTATGTAAATTTGTTTAAACTCGTGTAGTTACGTAATTTGAAATTCATATTTCTTTCGTAATTTTCAAAGTTTCAGGAAAATAGAACCCATACTATGTTGTTGAGAACATGTTCTCTCATCTCTTTGAATAAAAAATGTATTCAATTTCAAAATAAATATGGAATCATTTTTGAAAATACGAACAAGCCGAAAATTGCGTAAGGGAAGTGCCCTCAAAAACTAAAATATAAATTTCAAGTTAGTAGGGCGACCATAGCATTCAGATCAAGTGCAGAATATCCATATTGACAAAATAGGACATAGGCGCTAAAGTTGATCACAAATTAACGTTTTCAGAAATATCACTTTCTCGTATCAAGAACCCAACAAACCATGGATTCTCATGAAATTACTTATACGAGAAAGTAATTTACTAGGTTTAAGAGCAAGGACGCTTATTCTATATCATCCGTTCACAAATTGAGTTTCCCTTTCAAAAATTAACTCTTTTCGTACAAGAATTACGATATCTTCTCCATACTAACACGAGGAATACGAAAAAGTAAAAATAAGAAACCTTTACCATACACTGATACCAGATCAGTTATTCATGCAACACATAGCGATCTACACCGCAAAACAGCGATAGAACAGACGAGAGAGTGAACGGGTCCTTTGCAAGAAGTCCATCTGCAAGAACTCATGGCTCGGAGAGTTTCAACCAGATATTTTTATTTTCGTACATGAAACCTCAAAAACATTTTCAAAATTTTTTCAAAAATAGCTCCAAATTTTATTTCTTAAACTTTGTCCGTGGATAGCGAAAAGGACACCACAGAGAATGGTGCAAGTATAAGTTCGTTGAAATCCCAGATTTTTCGAAAATTGCCAAATATTTTTGGGCGTCTTTCTACAACTATAATATTGAAGATAGTGTTTTTTAATGAAATCTGTTGCTCAAAGACAGTTCTTGAAATAAGGTATTGTTCAATATTTCGAAAAAATGAGTAGTTTTCGTGTAATTTTGTGATGGGTTCGAAAATATTGGTTAACAGCTAAAACTCCGACCGTCTGTTCGTTGCCTGACTGTCCGTCTGAATGATGTCCGTCTTTCCGTCCGTGTCTATCCGTCTGACTGACCGTCGTCCGTCGTGAACAACAATAGCGCATACATTATTATATACCTTTTTCCAAAACGAATATTCGATCGATTGATCGGAATATTCGGTCGATCTGTTTTGGACTCAATGCTCTGCGATTTTGAAAATCATTGTTTTTTGATTTTGAGGATACATGAAGCCCCTGCTGCATTTTCTTAAAATTTTCTCAAAAATGTCGACAAATTTGTTTTTAATTTCTTGTTAGGGTAGAGTGAAACACACCTTTAAAATATGAGATAGGGCCAATTTTAACTACTAATTCTAAAGTTTCGAAAATTGCAAACGTTTGATTTTTTCGGCGTCTTCCAACAACAATATTGAAGAGAGAGGTTAAGTTCTTCAAATAAATTTTGTTTGCCAAAATTAGTTCCTTCATTAAACTCATGCACACTTTTTTGAAAAATTAGTAGTTTTCGCTCAATTGTGGGTGAATGGGAAATATTAAAATTATCAAAAACAATAATTTCTCAAAAACTGCTCCAAATATTTTTTTTGATCTTGGTAGGAATAGTATAAAATTACATAAGGTTTATTTTACCGTATTCTTTTGTTTGTTTTTTATTACACAAATGTAATATTTTTTGACATCGCTTTCACGTCGTTAATATTTACGTTACTGGCAATTTCTATATTCAAATAAATTATTGTATTTGCGAGTACATGTGCTTCTGCTTGCAAGCTTTTTGTGAAAATGTGCTAACAATTCTACTTTTCAGAAACTCATATGTCACTTTCTCGAAAAGGCTTCAAATATTTTTTTTTAATGTTATGAACGTTTAGTGCCTAATGGGCTGAACAACATAACATAAAAGCTGCTTTGATGTATTCTTTTGTTGTTTTTAAAAAATATGCAAATGTAATTTTTTTTGAAATACCTTTCACTCCGTTAATATGTACCATACCAGTGATTTGTATATATTCTAGCATTTGTGACGAAGAGCTTCAAAATAATTCTCATGGAATTTCTCGAAATCTCAAAAGTTTTGGGTAAAAATGGCTATAAAATTCGCATTTCCTGAAACACTAAAAAATTTCTCAAAAGTGGTTACACATTTTTTTAACGAAAATGTACGTATAGGGCGAGATTTTACACTTCTACAATACTCTTTTAAGTCATATACCAGTTCTGTCATTAGGGGACAGATATATTGAGAATATAAGAAAAAACGTAGTTTGGGCGACGATTAATGGCAGATGGAAAGAGAGTGGAGCAAAACCGAAATGCTACCGCAGACCAAAGACGTTAGGGAATAACTAGTACTAAAGAAAGTGTGTGCGATTATATAGCACCCCTAGTTATAGGTCACTATATTCTATTTTATTCAGCTAGAACAGGAATTATGTTATATTTACCGTCTGTTAAATGTATTGGATTAAGTATCTATTGATTAAAGTCAGTCAATTTCAATTTAATGTTTTATTGCTTAGCACAAAACATTAACAAAATAATAAATTGAAATTAACTGTCTTTAGTTGATAGAGTAATTTATATTGTGGATTTACGTAATCCAGAACAGGAATTACTTTTTTAATTAAAAAAATAATAAGGTCGCTTTTTAACTGCTTGGTCATACAGCGACCACAGTCATTTATAACATTGTAAGAGGATTACATAAGGACAATATGAACATACATTAACATCCATGCCCAGGGCGGGTTTCGAAACCGCGACCCTACGAACCGAGGCCCTTAGCGACCTCGGCGGAATTAACTTTATTTACATATTAATGTTCAATTTGGGGTTAAGAGTTTACGAAGTTTTATTTATTCTCAGTGAGTTTCAAGATGATTGTATGTATGTATGTAATGGGCATTTTGGGCCGACTGTCCTATACTATATACATGACTGGACCTAGTTTAATTCATACGCTTGGGGGTATGAGAGACATATGGCGAACATGATGTACTTCCTTCACCGTAACAAGCACATTCCGCACGCCTGAGCGTTTTTCGTCACTCATCTACCAAAACTGAGGCGATTTTAAAGGAAAGATACAACTACTTAAACGAAGAACCATTTTAAAGGAAAGACACAACTACAACTACCGGGAATCGAACATGGGATCGCAACATAGGAAGATAGAACGCTGCCCATGGGCCATCTGAATATAATTATTGTTTATGTTTTAATAAATCGAAAATTATTCCAAATAAAATGAAAGTGGAATATAGAGTGAATATTTTGTACATATTATTTATGTTTTAAGTTCAAGAAGCACGTATGCAGTCAATATCATCATACAATATAAATTAAAGTTTTGTATTTGTTTTTGGAAATATGGGGAGTCTCAAGTTGGTAACTACGACGAACTGCAGGAATTAAAAAACAACTAAAAACAATAGCTATCAAAACAGCATTCAAGAGAAAAAGTGATGGTTCTAATAAAAGTAAATTTTCAAATTAAAAGATGCATTGCTACATCCATTTCGTCAGAAGCCGATGCAATTTATAGTCCCATAAAAGCGAGTTTCAAGCTAAACAGCTTTTATTTACACTTTAATTTTTATATTTTAGATTATTTTTTATTTTCTCCGAAAGGTACCTATTCAACCAATCCTCTTATCTGTCTGCAAAAGTACTGCTATCTAGAATTAAATTGGTAACTTTCCCATTATTACGTTTTCGTGCTCTGAAAACTTGAAGGCAAGTGCAATTAATTATCCAGTTACAGTTCGTGACACTGCACGATGCTGTTTTCGATGATACAGCGGTCGAGCCACAGAAGAGTTTCCAAAACTCTTCAGATGCGTTTTACACGGAATGGTGTATCAAAGATATGGCAGGAATGATAGTTATATGGGTGTGCTGTTAACAAGGAACAGTGTTCAGAATTCCTCAAAAAACGTAACGTTCTACTGTAAAAAACGTAACGTGACAGTTAATGTGATATTTATTCAATGACCAAATTTTTAGAGATTTTTTACAATTTAATTATTATACATTGTTATTAAGAAATATGTTGTTAAGTAATGCAATAAGTATTATAAATACATGCGCGAATCCAAGCGGGGGGGGGATGAGGGAAACTCCCTCCCCCAACAATCTTATTTCTTAATTTTAACTTGCACGAAACTTTCAAGCAAAACTATTTTCGGATAATCATTAAAACGAATAAAATCGTATAGCAACACGAGCTAAGTTTAGTCTGCGTCAGTCTACATAATTTGTGATACTACCCATTCGACCACAGCATTTTGAATAAAAACCTATCTTAATTTATCGATCACACGCGACTCACAGTCGGGCATGTATATAGTATCCTCAATAAAAACACGCCCTAAAAGCAAAGATAAATGATGTAATCTTTTTTTTCAAATCAAAGTCAAATACGTAACTCAAGCACTTGGATATGTTACTGATACAATCGACTGGATCCGCCCCTGTCGGTAATAAGTACTCAAGAAGAAAAAGAAAATATCTAAAATAAATAAGAAGAAAAGAGAAAGAAATATAATAAACGAATAAGTAGAAGAATCTTGAGACATATTTTGTGCAATTCTGTGGACTTTCTTCAGTTGTCGGCAGTAATGTTTAAGTATGTAAGCGAATGTTTAATTCATAACCATGAGTTTAGATATCATGTAATCATTCGATATCACGCGTTATTATTTAAATTTAATCTGATCACATCTGTATCATATAATGTAAAATTTAATACCTTAATCCTTCATCATTTTGCATCTCTAAATTCAACGATTTTAATAACAGATTATTACTATTACTTTCTAGCTACCTCTTCCGCAGGCGAGGCAGTTACGAAATACTGCGCGAAAAATCTGCGAATTTGCGGCAGAAAAAACTCTTATTGTTGGACCCTGATATCAATAAAGTAAATGAATCCAAATGCTAAATTAAAAAAAAAATCCCTCTCTCGTGGTGTAGCCAGAATCCATATTTTGTGAGCCCTTGATACCGAAAAATCAATTGACGGCACAATGTTCGTCTGTGAGCACCACTAGCGCCTAAACCACACTAGGATTTTTTTCAAAATGGATTTTCTCCGGTCGATCTGGCTCAACTCGACGCGCTGCGATTTTGAAAATCATTCTATAAAATTTGTCGGTACATTTCATACAGCCCCTGGGACATTTTCAAAGTGTTCTCAAAAATGGCTTCAAATGTTTTGAATGAATAGAGTAAAATACACTTATAAAGAAGGTATAGGTCCAATTTTCACTAATTACTCTGAATTTTTGAAAATTTCAAAAGACTGATTTTTTTGGCGCCTTTATAGTATTACAACATTGAAGATAGAGACTTTTCTTCAAGTAAAACTTTATCTCCGTAGTCAGTTCTTTCATTAAGGTCGTGTACATTTTTTTGAAAATTTTAGTTGTTTTTGCACAATATTGCGAGCAATATGTGCAATTTTAAAAAAATAACAAAAGTAAGATTTTCCCGAAATAGCTCCAAATTTTTTCTTCAGACTTTTCGTACGGATAAGTCTAATTGGCTAGGTTTAAAATGACATAAAATTAATTTTGCTGTATTGTTTTATTTATTAAAGAATACACAAACGTAATTGTTTTGAAATATCTCTCACGCCGTTAATATGCACATTTGCAGATATTACATTTGCCGGCCACGATAACGTGCAGTCGATTTCAAATGTGCGAAGTGTTGACAGGAGTTCAACGACAATCGTGTTATAATATAAGTAACCTTTACAGATTATACAAGAAAGTACAAGCTGTTGTAGCATCACAAGTTTGTTATGCAATCCAACCTATACGACGCTACCCTTCAATTTCACGAGGATACGAATTTCAGATACAGAGGTAACACACTCCCACATGACAATTCCGTTATTCTATTCCACCCTAACTCTCTCTTCAGTAAAGGGAATGTCAATTTTGAAGAAAATCATCGGAACGTTTAGGCGCTAGCGTTGTCCTCAGACGGACGGACGGACGAACCAACGGGCAGATGGACAGAGACCATTAATGCCATTAATGTTTTTTCGGTATCAAGGATCCACAAAACACTGATTCTGGCTACATCACGTGTTAGAGGATGTAATTTACTATACATCGCCATAGAATTTATCCAAGTTTTCGTTACCAGTGCCCAGTAATAAAAGCGTTTCTGCCGAAAATTCGTTTTCCGGCACAGGATTACATTTATAACGTTCTCTTCTTACGAAGTAAATGCGAGGTAAATGCGAGAAAATAAAAATTAAGAAGGTCAATGGAGCAAATAATTCTATTAAAAGGGGTCGAGTCAAAAGGATTATGAACTATTGAAACTATCAAAACGTGAATGCAAATATATGCGATTTGTGTACCCCTCCCCGCGTCTTTTTTCGAGGGTGGGGGAGGGAGGGGGACCCACCTGTAAAGGTTGCTGCTCTAGTGAAGATGCGCACGATCTTCGAGCTGACGGCGCGCAGGCCTCTCTAGGGAGCCCGCGATAATAATGAGGTGATGGTGGCGGTCGTCCATGGCGGCGGCGGCGGCCGCGCACTGGCAGAGCCCGCGGACAGGCAGACGGGCGGCCGCGCCGTCCCCGCCCCCGCCCCGCCCCGCACGCCACGCGCGCCGGGGCACCCTCACTCCACTCCCACCCGGGGGCAAGCACGCCGTGGCGCCCCTCTGCGGACTTCACGTTCAGCTGCGGCGGGCGTTTTCATGTTGCACTTATTTGTCAGCTGCTTAAGATCCGATAATTGATGGACAGGCATGGGGAAGGGTATAAGTGCCCCAAAATGATATCTTCACATTTTAAGTCGAAAAGGATGGACGCCCTTATGCCTATGCAATACTAAGGAATTTAACTATGTATCAAGTTTTGTATGTCCTCTGTATGTGTGTAAATAATCTGGCCGTCCTTTTAAAACCGTAAATGTCACTGAACAGTTTTCTCCAAAATTCACGTTTGGTTCTTATACTCTTTTCCCATGTCAGCCCTTCAATTAATGGTAGAAGAAAGGATGGAGGTAAATACCAAGTGTATGGAAGATTGAAACTATTTATCATTTAGTCGGAATATTTTTATTGCTGACTTTTCGTCATAATGAATATGAACTCTTTAAACCTGAAATTCATATAACATTAACAGGAGTTCCGCAGAGCTTAAATTTATTTTGTCTAAATGTCAGCAATAGATTAAATGATTCTAATGCTGTGTAGTTTCAATTTTCGATCCACTTGGTCATTACATTTATCCCTTCTTCAATTTTAACTTGCACGCTACGGAGTAGAGAGAAAGTTATGTAATGCTGCGTGAAAAAACGGTGAATTTTTGGCAGAAAAACTCTTATTCCAGGACTCAGGTAACGAAACAGTTGATAAAATTTGTAGATAAATTTAGAAAAAAATTCCTCTATCACGTGGTGTAACCAGTATCATAATTTGGGGATCCTTGATACCGAAAACATTAAATGTCCGTCTGTGAACAACGCTAGCGGCTAAACCGTTCAGCCGATTTTTTCCAAAATTGATACTCCCAAATCAATCTGGCTGATGTCGCGACTCCTGAAATTTGAAATCGATATTTTTAATTTTGGAGGGTACTTTACATGAAGCGCCTGGCACATTTTCCAAATTTTCAAAAAAATAGTGTCGCCGTTTTTGATTAAATTTTGTTGTATGGAGAACGTTTAAGAGAATGGTGCAGGTCTCATGTTCGTAGAAATCCCTGATTTTTGGAAAATTGCAAACGTTCAACATTTTTTCGGAGCCTTCCTACAACTAAAACATTACTGATAAATGCAAATTTTCTCTTGATGTAATGTGTTCCTTAAAGATAGATTTTAGAATAATCATGTAACATTTATCGAAAATTTGAGTACTTTTCGTGAATTTAGCGTGAAAATACGGGCGAGGAAAGTAAGTGCTGTTTTAGCACCACTAGTTATATGTACTGTGGGAGTTCATAGCAAAAATAAATTGTTAACATAAAATTACGTGCCTCCTCTATCGATGAACATAGTAAGTTATGAAAAATTATCGACAAAAATACTTTCTTTTTTATGTTTCGTTCAGTATAATAATTCACCCTATTTTCTCACTGCGTCAGACTTGAAAACGTCAAAAACATGTTTTTTTCTGGAATTTTTCAGAATATTTTAGATGTATTCTACTAGCAATGTGCCAATTCGTTGCCTCAAGAGAAATCCAATGCGTTATCGATCATCTCTCCGACTAAAAAGGCAAAAACGCTTTTTAGATCCTTAAACCGCCCGGAAACACAGTTATTCGCCCTCTTTTAGAATGCTCAAGAAGGATCTGGGAAGAACTGTCTACCCGTCGACTGGAAATCCGGGAATTATCGACCTTGCGATCGCGAAAGGAATTGATTGCGGAGACCGCCTTTCGACCTCCTATCTGGTTTCCCATCACAGGCCGGTAACATTTGTGGTTTCGACTTTCGCCGCAGTACGCCGAAACAAATTCAAAATATCCCACAGCAAAAACTGGGCCTGTTTCACAGCTCGCATAAGCACTGTGCTTGAGCGAAAACCGCTAAATTCACGGGATGAAATCGATAGCGCGGTGACTCACATCACTTCTGCGATTCGAACTTCCTACAAATCAATCACCAAAATTACTCGCGAACCGGAATCACGTTCTGAGCTTACAGATGAACAGAGAGGTACGCTGCGGGAGATGCGCAGTTATTCTAAACTACACAGCTGCTACGGCGATCCCACGGGCAGAGCGCGGGCGCGAGCTCTTAGCAGAGAATTCCGTAAATCTCTACACGGCGAGAGAACCGCAAAATGGTCGCGCACGGTCGAAGATTTTAATCTTCGTGAAATAAACCTTTGGGGATTATCTAAGACGCTGGGTCGCAAGGCGGGAGTAAACCGCCCGCTCCGCACCCCACCCCCCCGACACCACAGATGCCCGGCCACACCGCTCTGCAGCCGGAATACGTGTGGGAGGACGCCGCTAAAACGGACTCTTCGCGGAGTCGCTTGAACGGCAGTTCCGCCCATTCGAGTCTGGCGAGTTTGGGGGCCAGGGAACTGTTGCACGCTTGCGTGAGTACCTGACAGCCCCGCCGAGCACCACCGTGCGACGTGTGACGAGAAGGAAGCTCCGCGAGGCGCTGCGACACCTCAACACGCGCAAGGCACGCGGGCCGGACGGTATAACAGCTGCCCAGCTTCGTGCGCTCAGCGCTGACGGGGAGGAGTTCCTGCGGGAACTCCTAAACGCGTGCCTAGCGCTAGGATATTTCCCCAGAGCATGGAAATCGCGACCATATTCAAGATACCAAATCCTAATAAGGACCAAGTTATCTTGATTAGTCTCCTATCGCTTCATGCGAAAAAAATCGAGCGCCTGATCCTGGAGCGCTTGCAACGGGAAATACGGCGACTTCAGCTTCTTAGAGATGAGCAATTCGGGTTTCGAATTGGTCTCGGTTCCGCGCAACAACTGACGCGGCTATGTACTGAAATCGGTCTCTCGAAAGCCGGTAGAACTTGCCGGTGGTTTTTCTGGACCTACGGTCTGCATTCGATTCCGTATGGCGTGAGGGAGTGCTCACGTGTCTTGCGGACATTGGAATCAGCGACTGTTATGTCAGACTAATCGCTAGCTTCTTGACAGATAGACCATTCAATATTCACGTCAATGGCGTACATTCGTCCCTAAGACGAGCCGTAGCCAGCGTGCCACAAGGAAGCGTGTTTTCCCAGATCCTATGCGTCCTGTACGTCAACGACGTACCGCTACCAGTTGAAAGAAATACCTGCATTCAACATTGCGGGCTCCTAATGTTCGCGGATGATTTCGCTTATTATGCGAAGTCCACGGACAAATGGAAATCGGTTAGATATCTGAATGATTGCCTCGCTGAGCTTCCCGAATGGCTGAGCCATAAAAAGCTCGCCCTCAACCTAGACAAATGCGTAGCCGTTAACTTCACCCAACTGAGGGCCGACCCCGTTGAAGTCTTGAGCTTAATCGGCGCGCACCTACCCTGGCAAAAGGCGGCAAAGTATCTTGGTGTGAAGCTCGATAGCGGCTTCCGCTGGCACGCCCACGCCAAATACATTAGCCAAACAATAACTGACCGAACTACCCTCCTGCGACCATTCTTACGAGCCCCCCAATTCCATCCTGTCTTCAAGCGCCGCCTATTCACCGCCTGCGTGCGGTCCACTTGGACGTATTCCTGCGAGATATTCGCGGCTGCACCTCCCTCCACCCTCCGTCCGATTCGCCCGGAAAACCGTGCTTGCGCGCCTCGCGGCGCACCCGCACCTCCCTCCCACCCCACCCAATAGACATCCTAGAAACGCCGACTAGTTAGGAGAACTGGGCGTAAAAAAAACAATTCTTGACGGAGCTTCAAAGGCGCTTAACAACGGCGCTTGCAAGGGCGCTGGGTCCGAAGGCGCCGCGCATCCTACGTGACACCGGCCGAGAGGCGAACAGCGACGCACATCTGTCCCATCTACGGAAAGGACCGAAGCACGTCGCCTTCGCCTTCCGCGCGCTGCCCCACGACACGCTTGCTGCCTTGTGCGAGCGAGCGGAGGCAGCCGAACGCAGAGGGGAAGGCTCGTCATCGGCCGAGGGACGCGCGGGGAACGCGACGCCGCGCCCCACCTGCCACGCCTCCCAATGGGCCCGAGCGCCACGGACACTTTGAGCCAAGTCAGTCCCGTGGCGAACAGCGGTCTTCGCTTAAAGTGTAGTGCAGTGAAGTGTGAATGAATGGAATGAATGGTAATGGATATAATGACACAAGTATGAATGAAAAAAAACAAGTATCTAAAAACAACAATTTCTCCAGTAATTAGTTAAGAACTCATCCTAGTGTAAGTTAGGAATTCCATTCTCGTCTCCATAGGGTTACTGTGGAGGGGAACCCTCCCCCCCAAAAAAAATGTGCGTGCCAAGAGGCTTAGGCTCCGGGCTCTGGGGTGAAGGCGGGTTAATGGCCTGAGGGTGGTAAGGTGTCTATTGTGCCGTCCCGAAAGAGTGCGGTGTGGGGGTGGTGTCTAATAATAATTTTAGTTGAGGGGAGGGGCTATGATTTTTGTTTTCATTCAGTAAGTTATCATTTAAATGAATATGGAGGTTTTCCAAAGTAAATCTTCCAATCAATATCACAGCAGATTAACCAGATTAAAAGTTGATTGTTTCAAAAATACTTCTTTTTATAAAAAACGAAATAAAATTGGAGAAAATTGATAGAAGAAAAAAAAGTTGGTGAAAATATCAAAATATGTAATAATGTGTAAAGAAAAACCTGGATATTATGTTTAGACAGCGACGATTCGCCAAGATTACAATTTTGAGTTTGGTGAGTAGGGAGACAAAATATATGTAATTACAAAAAATCCGGTCTCTACTGATCACGATTTAATCTAAAATGGTTCTAAAATTTGTGATCATCAAATTCATTAGAGCAAATTCTCCACGTGATTCTCTTTTCATACAAACGCTTCTTTCTTCTTTTTGCTCCAATAGAACGGCATAAT